GAACATCCACATAAAAAGTCTGTCCATCTATGGTTGGCCTCTTCATCAGCTTGTTCATTTCGAATTTCATCACTAAATCACCAACATTTAGCTTTATTATACCCTTCCTGACATCAATAATAGGTCCTGCAGTAGCCAAGAAGGGTCTGCCAAGAATCAAGGGATCTTTGGGTTCTTCTCCATACTCCAGAACCACAAAATCAGTAGGAATCATGCAATCTCCTACTTTGATAGGAACATCCTCTATCACACCTTCAGGAACTCTGACTGATCTATCAGCTAGGACAAGAGATATCCTTGTAGCCAAAAAATCGGTCATCCCTAAGCTCTTGGCAACAGAATGAGGCATAAGGTTCACACTAGAACCAAGATCACACAATGATCTCTCAAACCTGTCAGAAAAGATTGTGCAGTCTAAAACAAAGCTCCCAGGGTCTGAAAGCTTCTCTGGCACTCTGTTCTGAATCACTGCACTGACCTGCTCGTTGATCATCATAGCTCCAGCCTCTAAACTCAAGTTATTGGTCACCATTCTCTTCACATACCTCCTTATAACAGGAGTAATCCTCACAACATCAATCAATGGGATCTCAATAACTAACTTGTCCATGATAGCTTTGCATTTAGCATCTTCAAGTTCTTGTTTAGACTTCTTAGGATGCTTATGATAAGGTATCTTGGGCTTATACACTGTTTCCTTAGCATTGTTTGAAGTCTCAGTCAAAACTGTAGTATGTTGCAACGGGTGACGAGCGTCACCAGGTTGGTGACGAGCGTCACTCGTTTTGAATAAGTCGTGATGATAGGCTCGATTTGGGTGACGAGCGTCACCCTCCTGGTGACGGTCGTTACCAATCTGTGAAGAAAAATCGTCGGGGTTGTGCTCAGTGGGTGACAAGCGACACCCTTCCTTGGTAACAAGCGTCACCCGTGGGATTTCAGCAGAAATTTCCTCATGTTCATACTCTTCAAGTCCCACGAAATGTTTTGAGCTCAAATCTTTCTGCAACACTGGTTGCAGGTTCTTTCCACTCCTCAATGTTATGGTATTCACATGGTGTTTAGGAATATCATCAGTTCTTCCTGGAAGAAATCTTTCTTGCCTCTGAACAGCTCCTGCAGTTTGGGCAACCAGCACATCAAGCTTCTTCATATGAGAGTTCAGACTCTCAATTTTCCCATTCAAGTCCTGATAGAGCGAATCCATCTTGCCATTGAAGTCTACTGTCAGCTTCTGTTCTCCTTCTAGGATCTGTTCCAGCATAGCTTCCATTTTGTTCTCTTGTGGAGGTGCAGATTGGTAGGAAGAAGAACCATAGTTCCTGTTGAAACTGCTGCTGTTCTGGAATGGCTTCTGGTATTTTGTCTTCTGGAATGGAGGCTTAGGTGTGTAACCAGGTGTGCTCTGATTTCCTGTGAAGGCACTCTTCTGATTATTGTTGTTGTAGCCTATGTTCCACTGCTGATTTCCATACCTTTGACCCTGAAATCCTCCAGCATTGACAAAATTCACATCTTCCTGCTCAATCTCTTCTGGACTTTCGAAAGTATCCACCTCTGCAGCAAAATGAACTGATTTCTTTGCCACTAAGAGGCTGTGCATACTGTCCAGTTTAGCCTTGACTTCAGCAATCTGAGTTCCATCATCCAAACCAGCTTGTTTCATCCTCTGAAAATCTGCATTCTTGGTGCTGTTACTGCAGGCCAAGTTCTCAATCAACCTGATTGCTTCTTCTGGTCTGTTGGTGTTGAAGTTTCCAGCACTAACTGCATCCAGCACCATTGAATACTTCCAGTCAATGCCTCTAAAGAAGATCCCAAGTAGTTGCACTTGACTGAAACCATGATGAGAACAGTCCCTTTGATAAGACTTAAATCTCAGCCAAGAAGCCTTAAAAGCTTCAGTAGGGCCTTGAGAGAATGATGCAATTTTCGTCCTCAGATCCTCTGATCTAGCATCATCATAGAAATTGTTCAAAAAGGCATTCTTGGTGTCCTCCCGAGTAGTCAGCTAAGCAGGCTCCAGTTGCTTCAGCCAGAATGTAGCATCTCCACCAAGTGAGTATGGGAAAAGCTTGCAGAACAGAAAGTCATTGCTAACACCATTAGCTTTGACACTTGAAGTTAGATCCTCAAACCTCTCAATGTGGTCCATAGGATGCTCATGAGGTAAGCCATGGAAAGGATGTTGTCCCACCAGCTGATAATAAACTGGTTTAAGCTCAAAATCGTTCCACTGGAAAGCAGGAGGGCGGATTGCAGCTCTATTGGCATAGAACTGATCAGGTCTGTTGTAGTCTCCTAAAGCCCTCTGTACAAAATGCCCAGCAGCGTTATCAGCAGCAGCAGGGACTCCAGCGTCTTATCCCACTTGTTGAACACGCTGTTCAACAATGACATTCCCATCTTGATCAATCCTCTGCCCATCTTCATTCCTCCTGTTTTCCTCTCTGTCAACCAAGTGACCTTCTGCATCTTCAACCAAGATCAGTGGAGCAACCATTGTAGATTGTTTCTTAGTTTTCTTGAGGGTCCTCTCCAATTTAGCAAGTTCGTCGATGCTCAAAGTCACAAGCTCCTTCTCTTTGTTGCTTCTAGTACTACGATTAGGCATACACCTGAAACAAGAACAAAAAAAGTAGCAGAAAATTAGTAAAAAATTAAAACTTAGACAAAATTCTAATACTAAAAATTGATAGGCAGCTATTACTCCCTGGCAGCGGCGCCAAAAACTTAATAGGGCTCAGGTTTTACCCAAATAAAACTACTGCAAGTGCACAGCAAAGCAGTTGTAGTACAAGGGGTATCGAATCCCAAAGGAGTATGTAAACTACACTATTGAGTGTAGGTTCGGATTAAGCTATGCATCAGATGGTGTATGTAATGCGAATGACAAATTAAATGTAAGAAAACGAAATTTGATAGTTGATCTAAGTTTCAGAAGACTAAAAACGCTAAGTCAGGACAGTTCGCAGGTTGAATCCGAGAATGTATAATGCATGAAATCAGGAATGATTAAGAACCGTCTTGAACATAAATCGTAAATATATAACAAATCAATTCTCATTGCAGAAGTTATCTATGTCTAAATCACAGAGTTTCAAATCTCTTTGCAAACCTTAACAATCTAAACATGCAGTAATGAACACGTTGAATTGTTCACAAAACTTCTAAGCCAAATCTATTTGCACTAAGTTGTTTTGCTCATCAAATATTAGTTCAGGTTATCAATAATGCTCTCACATATATTTAACAACTTATGATTTTCAGATTTCTAGATGATGTGTCTAAGAAATCGATTTTCAAGCAAGCAGAGATGAAGAACAAGAAGATAATCCTAACATGTAGCAATTCTACAAACTCTTCATCAACCTTTGAAAAGTCCTAACTTAACTAACAAATTACTCAGAAATGATCATGGAATCAGAAAACATAAATTAATAAAATTGCATTAAGAGAATAGAATAAAAACAAAAGGGGGTTCGAAATCTTCTCCAAAAAGAGTACAGGATCTGTCTCTCCAGAAGCTCTTAATAAAATCCTCTCTAAAGCTCTCTGAATTCTCAAAAACTAAGATAAAAGCCAACAATGGCTGAAAACCTAATATATAGAAGCTAGAACACGATCTGGGGCCTTCTTGCAAATATTAGAACTTATGGGCCAATTCTGCAAATAATCTACATACTTTTAATAAACCAGCCACGCTCCTTCCTTTGTGGGTGACGAGCGTCACCATAGGTGGTGAGAGCGTCACCCAAATGCATACTTTTCTTCTCGACCTGGACACTTCGTGGCTTCAACTTGCAATGCTCCAAAAAGCTTCAATATCTCCATTTATGCTCCAGACATGCTATAACCTGCAAAGACTCTACTAGGACTCTAAAAAGACCAAAAGACTCAATAAAAAGGACTTATATCATGGTTAAAAACCATAAAACTATGATATATTATGTTTCATGTTCAAAATGGTTTTAATTCATTCCTGATTGCATGCATTCTACACTCTCGGATTCAACCTGCGAATTGTCCCGACTTGGCGCTTTTAGCTTTCTGTACTTTAAGAACAATCATAAAACGCCCCCTTGCATTTATTTGACTATTTCACATTACATTCATTCATTATTGTTTAGCTTGATCTGAATCTATAATCGCTAGTGTAGCTTACATACTCCATTGAGATTCGATAATCCTTTATACTATAATTGCTTTGCTGTGCACTTGCAGTAGTTTTATTTGGATAAAATCTGAGCCCTATCACACCACCAGCAATTAATTACCTGCATTAAATTGCCACCTTTGACCTATGCAAAAGGCCATTAACCCACTACCTAAAAAAATAACCACTATTTCCTCTCCACAAAAAAAAACTACTAACCAAAAATCTTCCTACCATCATCACCTCATTATCTTCTACCAAACCAATATTAGTAATAGACCTATCCCACTTTACCTACCGCATATATTATGAAGATACCCAATACCTCGCTGATAACCTCACCAAAAACAGAATCTTTTATCAATTTATCCTCGTAGACACTAAGCCAGTAAAATAATCCACCATATAAATAAAACTAACTCTGACCTCATATCCTATTCCACATGTAAAATCCTAAGGTTATGCAATCCTCAAGACCTCAGGGTTTTTTTAACTTACCAGAAATGAATTATGTATTTCCAGATATCATATTTTAGGGTTTACTTATGTAAATTACCAAAAAGTTTTCTTACAGACCTTCTACCTACAAATCTATGACCATTCTTGGTTTATATCTTTTGACTTTCATTGTCCTAAATCAATACTAGGATGGTTCTATGAATGGTGGCACTGGTTTGAGCCATATGACCAAATTTATCCTCCTAAATTACTCCAAAGATTCATACCATACTACACTAAACACGAAAAACACGAACACATAGGCCCTTGACTAAAAATATCATTCCACATAGACATGGGGTACCTTGGATTGTCTCATGGCACTTCAACCTACTATCTTTTTTACCTGATATGCCATACTCTTTGGTCTGTGAATACAAGGTGAAATGGTGGGACAAATAAAATTTGGACCGCTGTTCTGTTATCAACATAGCATAATGGATACAAACCCATAGCCAAATTAAACAAGCTATTACAGATATATCCCGAGCATTTTCACCTATTCAAACAAAAACCATATACTCCACCCCTCAAAAAATAAAACCAACCAGCCCAACAGTGTCAAAAACCTCATCCTTAGGATCGAAGAAAAGTAGCAGCAAAGATAAACTCAAAAAGATTTTAGAAGCCATCCCTATGCAAATATCTTCTTTCGAAGATGAAAATGATACTACACAAGACGACAATCCATATGCCGGCTCATTATCCTAAAATCCATTGGAAATTAGAACAATAACTTCATATCACAAAAAAGTCCGTAAACTAAATATATATGTTATAAAACTATAGAATTTTTCAGCAAATTCAAAACCAAGAAGAAAACAAAATCATAAATCAAGATAAAATCAACAATCAAAAGGAGATGAAAATATCATCCATTACAGCAACATCAAAGCGAGACTTATCACAACAAGACCTAAAAAGATAAAATAATATATATATATTAAGACTACTCATGACCCAAGGAGACAAGAGACAAAAGTATGAGTAACTTCACATGTAAAACCAAGACATATCATCCTTTGTTCTTATCAAGACAAATCATCCATTGTTTTTATCAACTCTTTTGTATAAATGGGAGGAGGGTTTATGAAGAAAGGGGAGAACGAATTTTAGTGAGAAATCACCTACGAATTCCCTACATACTTTCATACTCTCTAGTTTTCATCAGAATTATTTACACCTGAACACACTTTATGAAACTCATTTTACATTTTACACATTTAAAGCAATGTAGTGACTTTGAAGATGCGATTTGACAATTATACCCTTAGTTTCATCTTCTCCAAATTCACCATTCATTTTCTGTAAAATGATTTTCCATCATTTTTTTTATTGAGAATAACATGTCTGATTATAATTCATTACTGTCGCTGTACCCAACAAAACAAATTCTAGAGGGCACAGATTTTGTTACGAAATCTTTGATTAATCTCCTGTTCGAAAACGCATCCGCCACGGTCGCTTCATCCGAGTAAAAGCGCTCGACAGCTTTCGGCCGCCGCGATTCTGATCTAATCGGTTAAAAACTCGAAAGAGTTAGCAAAAAAATCATTTCTGTGTTTGTTTTCGCTTTTAAAACAGCATCTCACTATATATCTATCATTTTTGGATAAAAACTTGACAATAATAAGTATATAATGAAAATGATGAAATTGATAAAACTCAATTGAGTGGCGGCTGTTTTCTGTTTCAAAACGATATACTTTAGGTTGAAGATGAAGTTCAAAATACTAATTTTTCCTTTGTTAAAGCTAAATCAACGAAATAACCAAAAATACTCAGATATGACTCGAACTCTATGTAGTTAAAACCGTCCAAACCACTGTAGCAAGCAATTCTTTGGTGTACATACATAAAATATATATTATATATATGATAATATTTATGGTCAGCTGTGAATAGAATTTACAAATTTATCTTACTTAAGTGTACACCCAAGTATGACCATGCATATGTATTCTGCTTCGCGAGAATTAATCACATATGAACAATAAATGCATTTTTTGTGGCATATATTTTTCAATAATGTGCTTTATACATGTTTAGGTTATGATCATGTTTTGGCAGACATATTTTTGCGGACACGCTTTATTAGATATTGTATAATATTGTTATCCACATAGATATGTCCACCACAATAGGTCTATGGTATCTTGTCCACAACACTATTAAATAAGCTTTCTCAGAAAAAGTTATATGTTCAATAAAGTTTTCTAATTTGATGGACAAATTTTACTGGACAACAAATTATGAATATGATTTTATTTTATTGTCATGCTTTGTTCTAATTTCAGTAAACAAATAATAAGTGATGGATGTGATTAAGTGATCAGAATGTATATAAACTCATGATCATTGTCTCCTATTCATTGTCTCCCGTCCATTATTTATTGTCCATCAATTTTTTTAACAATAATATGATTCACTATCATAAACTACTATTGGGCGATTTAGCATGAACAAGATGATAAAAATAACACATTTTTAACATCCCAATTGTTCTTTTATTGTTTTTGCTTCCCTAAAGATTTTTGTCCATGGTCTCCTATTCATTGTCTCATATCCATTATCTATTGTCCATCATATACCTTCTTTAAAATGTTGTCCATCATCTCATGTCCATCATCTCATGTCCATCATCTATTGTCCATCATATACTTGTCTCAGGTCCATCATCTATTGTTCATCATATACTTTCTATAAAAGTGTGTCCACCATATTCTTTATCAGATCGTATTTCTTGTTTCGTCATCTATGCTTTTAATTATTTGTTCAATTGTTACTTTGATGTATGTTGATGTTAAGCTTTCCAAGTCTCTATACACCTCATATACTATTTACAACAGTCATAATTAAGCTGGATTAATTAACTAGAAAGCTTCATCACATTTTCCTGACAGGAATATTTATTCATTAGATGAGTTAATACCTTTGCTCACAAGAAAAATTCAACATCTCTACTTAGAGAAACCGAAAGGATCTGGTAAAGTTCTTACGATATGATGCTTTGCTTTTGTTTTCCTCCCATGTTTACTTAAGCTGACCTTAATACATGACAGGTGGATCGAGTTTTGGCTGTGGTATATCTTTTTTGACAAACTGCCCCAATTTAGCTTCACTATCACTAATAGGTTTTGAGCTAAGAGAAAAAATAACCTGCGTTCTATTTAAGGTATGGTTATTTTAATTTTGAAGCTTATCTTATCTTAATGTTTTGTTACAATAATGTCGGGATGCTTTTTTATTTTGCAGGGTTTCCGTAAACTCAAGTACTTGAACCTATCAAGAGCAGCTGGAATCAACAGACACTTTTTAAGGTTCATGTTGCCTGAGCAAACAATTAATGACTAAGTATTTTTCTGTTAGCAAAATTTCTTATGGCGGAGATTATTTTTCTTATGGTGGTAAGGATGTGAGCAAAGACTCTGTGCTCGAGACTCTGATTTTGCGAAATTACACTAATGTATCGGAGGTAAAACGAATTTAACATAATACAGTTTTGTCTCTTGTTGTTGCATTTTCTCATATTATGTCACAATATTGGCCCTTTGAATCACTGATATACAGAGAAAAGCTAGACGGTTATTCGATTCGATACTCTCAGGGCACTTCAGATTTATTAGACACATTGTAAGTTGTAGACAAGACATTCTATTTTTGGTAAAAATCTGCTGGATCACAGGTGATTTATTCATCATCTTTTTCTTCAATAGGACCTTACATGTGAACGGATATTACCTAACAACCGGAGTCATTGGAACCCTAGCACACCAAAGTAACTGATTTTTATTTTATTTTTGGTTTAACATTTGATCATAACTCGGTTCATGACGCATCAGTTTATATGGCCATTTGTGTGTGTTGTAGGTTCTCTAAGGAAGAGCTGCTAAATGCAAGACAAGGTCTCCAATTGGTGGTAGAGTTTAGATCTTTCTAGATGAATTCAACATTTCGCATCATCAATGGAGATTCATGATAATGATGATCATCAGCAACATTAAGGTTGATCAGTTCGTTAAAATTAATCTAATAAATAATTACTATGAATTGAATTTAAATGGTTTGTTGTTTGTAAAATTCGGATAAGAAAATACTTTCTCCGAAGCTGAGGACGACTTTTGGGACATGCGATGATGTTCTCTTTTTTTTCCTCCTTTTATTTCTGGTGGAGCATCATGCATTCGACTTATTATTTTTTATTCTCCAAATGATATAACATTATTGTTTATTTTGTTCGATTTTATCTGTTAACTAAATGATCTTGTACTATAATATCCTACAAGGCTACATCTTTATATTTAGAATATTTAGTTAACCTATTAGTCCACCAAATATAGTTTCCTTAGTTTGGCAATACTAAGAGGAGATTAATATCTTCAACCTCATGCATAAACGAGGTTTAGTTTCATGGGATGTGTAACACCCGTCTCTCATCATTTTAAGACGGCGTGCCACCCACTTAGCTTTCCAATCAAATTACTACACAATAATCTCCCAATCAATACTTTTTCATAAATAAACTCAAATAGTCTTGCAAAACCCAACTTAAATGCAAAATCAACTCAATTAAATCCTTAAACCAAAGTAAATAGAAAGCTAAGTGTTTTAGGTCCCCAAAATCGAACTAGTGAACACTAACACTGCCACCATGTGATCACTGCTGCTGCTCCTGCTCACCTGCGAAAGAGGGAAAAGGGACACGAAGGCGATGAGAAATTTAGATTACCGAGGAGAATGCATACATGTGGTCCACCACACATATCACAACCTAACCATGTCGCTAGCCATTAGCTAAACGAACAATCATCACAACTCTTCAATAGTCAACCATTAACAAGCAATCATAATATGTCTTGGTAGGAACTACATCTACCTTAAACACAACAAGCAATCATATTAGGTCTAAGTAAAAACTGCATCTACCATAACCTTAACAACCCTACAAGTGGAACTGCATCATTTTCAACTATTGGTATAGGTAGGAACTGCATCTACTGTAACCATAAACAATCCGATAAGTGGAACTGCATCACTTTCTGCCCTCGTGTCTAGGTAGGAACTGCATCTACCGAAACCTCAACAATCCGACAAGTAAAACTGCATCAGTTTCGGCTCCTTATGCATTTGTGCTCTCAACACTCTATATGCAATGCAACCCATAATTCTCACAAGCAATCAAATACCAAAGCGCACAACGAGCAACTCCAAGTTAACCATGGTCCTAAATCTATGTTCAGAAACAAGTAAAAGTAAACCAAAGCGCACAACAAGCAACTACAAGTTACGCCATAAGCCCAACCTGCAGGGGGAAGGAATTCCGCTTATCCTTAACCAGAGACAAGCGAGGAAGAAAACACTGAAGAGAAGGCATGGATACATCCTCACCTTTCACGGATCGAATGAACAGCTAAAACAAAATAGGTTAAGGTTTAGGGATCGAACGACAAGAAGTAGAAAACTTTCAAATGGATCTTTTCCAATGGACCTTATACTTCTAGAGTTCTACTCTACAGGCAAACAAAACCAAACAAGTGGACCACAACGACGGAGTTACTTACCAATAATCGGTTCACCCCCTTCGTGATTTCCTGCCATGAGCACATGCGGTCTAGAGGCGTTCCTCTTAGGTGGTGGCGGCAACTGTTCTTGGTTGACTCCTACCTGTTGTGGTATGTACGCTCTAAAATTTCTTGCATGATGTCCCAACTGTTCACAACTACCACAATGTCCTACTGCTAGTGCTATTGGGCATTCCCGTCCAATGTGTCCTGGCTGATCACACCGAAAGCACAAACCCTCCTTGCATACATCGCGATGCACCCTTTTACACTTCACACAAGGCAGAACAGCTCCTTCTTTCTGGTTAACAGTATACCAAGTTTGCTTATAGGTTTATGTTCCCTTAGCGGTCCTTTCTTGGGCGTTCTGCGCTAGCTTCTGCTCCTCATCAACACCGACCTCCTGCATTACAGCCGTTTCTACAAGATCGATCATGCTGTCATACCTCCTAATGGAGCAGCGATTCTTGAGTTCAATCCTCGTTCCCTTTTAAAAGAGCCGGATCAACTCTTGCTCTCCTGGGTAGTGACCAGCAAACCTTATTAAACGATTGAACTCCTCCTTATACTCGCGTACGGTCTTGTTTCGTTGACACAAGTCTTGGCACGCACTCACCATCTTTTCCACCGCCTCACGAGGAAAGTACTTAAGGGAGAATTCTGCCTTGAAATCTTTTCAGGTAGTTCATACCGTCCCCCAGACTTCCCAACAAGACTTTCCCACCATACCAGCGCCTCGTC